TTTATATGCTAAATCAATAAAGATATTTTGTGCTTTGAATATATCTAGCACATTAATATCTATTAATACACATTCAGATGATTGATTTAGTGAGATTTGATTTGAAAAAGCAAAAATTAAAAGGAATAATTTTATAACAATATCATCTAGTTGAAATATATCAATGATATCATTTCGTAATTGTTTCATTTCAATATGAAATTGTTTATTTAATGTTTTGCTCCAATCTTTGCCAGAAAAATGTGGATCTTTTGTATTTGGTTCGTAATAAAGATCTGTTCTTGGATCATGAATAAATATTAAATGAAAAAAACATAGTGGTAATAAATTTAGTTTAATTAAATAAGCTTGATCTTCTTGTTTTAATTGTTGAAATTCATTGATTTGTTTTAAATAACTAATAAGACGCATCGATGTTATATGAATTGGCATATGAAATAATTCTAATGTGGTTGTAATTGATTGTGTTGAAAGATTTGATGATATGCCAGTTATTTCATTTAGTTTTACAGCTTCTGTAAAATAATCTTGAATTAATCGGATTCTTAACCAATCAAATTCATTTAGATATGATTGATTATTAGATAATGATGATAAATCTATAGATGAAAGATTGTCAATTTTTGACTAAAAACAAATATAAAGAGAAAAAATGAATTTGAAAAATAAAACTTTACGTGATTTTTATTCGATCGATGATCATCTTGAATCTGTTTGAGACAACGATTTCCTTCAATTTTAGCACTTTTATCTTCCCTTCTAGACATAAATATTAAAACTTAAAAGACGAAATTATTTTTATTTAAGTTCAACGTGACTCAATCTGACATTTATATTTCTACTGCAACTCAGAATATCGTAAATGATGTTTAATAAAAAGCGATGTGATAAATAATGGCATTGAGAAAAAATTGTAACGTAGTAGGTTTAGAAAGATGTCTATTCTCAAAAATTAATCTTTAACCTGCACCTTAATTACTGCAATCAAAGGATCAGTTTTCTGGTATATCGAATTTATGAAATAGAGATAAAATCAACTTTGTGTACTTATAGAATTCTACTAGGTTAATTTATATTAATCTATCATCAATGCTAAACAGTGACAATATTTTTATTTATAGAACTAGGTAAGAGGATACGACTGAAGTAAAGATATGGATTCATTATGCTATTTCATAAGGCTTTCCTATAATTCTGAAAATTTTATACTAAGAACTGATTTCTATTCATGTTATTTTACATTAGAATAAGAAATATCGATAATGAATACAATTGTCGAATGTTCTTAATAATTAACTATCTAAATTCATCAGCATTCTTTCATGTACGAAAGACTCACTCTTTATCCGTTAGAATCCATTCTTTTCGCATCCCTAAAATCAAAGAATATTTAGATTTATTATCAATCAAATATTAATGATCCAAACCTTGTTCAATACATTTCTCAAGGCGACATTTTTTACATCGCTTTTTAATATTAAATCTCACATCGCAGTGACCATCATTACGACGACATTTTAGCTTTTGCTAAGTAATTAACAAAAAAAAAACATTTCGTTTACGAAATCGAATCAAATCTTTATTACTCGTTGTAAGGCATTTCGGCGAAAAAATGCTTTACATGAATAACATGATATTGCATCAAAATTATAACCTAAAAAAAGATTATTATAAAAGAAAGATAGTTTTTTTACTAGATTGAATGATTTGTTAAATTACCATGGGCACCATCATCACAAACGACACATATTAAAAGTGACTTCTGACGTTTGGAAGTTGATCCAGATTCTGTTTTATTGAGTTCAGTGGATAACTGA